CTCGGCCCGAGGCGGCCAGACGCGGCCCTGAGGCTCCCCTGGAGTCGGTGGCTCCGGCGCTCCGGCCCAGCTCCAGGTCAGCGACTGAGCGCGCAGCCCCAGAGCGCCGCCAGCACGCGGCCCGGCCCGCCTCAGCCTCCACCAGAGGACACAGACACGGTCACCGGCACACGAGCTCCTGGCAGGACCCCAGGTCACAGAGACCCAGGATCAGGCTGGGCGCCATTGGCCAAAGTCGCGTGGGCACAGGAGCAGGCCTCTGAAGGCCAGAAGTTGGTCCTGCTGTGTGCGGTCACCTGCTGCCGCTGCTGATGTGGATAAAAAGGGGAGCAATCGGTGACTCCCTCCAAGAAGTGGAGAATAGGGAGAGGAATGGCTGGCAGCACCCCAGGCACTTCTGCCCTGCAGTGCCAGAGGCCTTTGACCTTGAGTAGAAAGAATGGCCCCTGGTCAAGGACACACAGCCGTCCTGGGCAGCCAGCTCCCCTTTGAGGCATTGGAGGCGCCAGCAGTGTTGCTGGGCATGCTGGTGCAGCGGGCGAGCCACCCTGAACCCCTGTGCTGATGCAGCTCTGCTCTGGACTGGAGCTCTGCTTGGGGGGAAGTAGGCACACCTGCCTGTAGCACCCCTGGAGTGGGGAGTCACAGGTCGCTTTGGGCTCAGTTCCTGGTCTAGGTGGGGCTGGAGCTCAGCTTCCACACGGGTGGTCAGGCTTAGACTCAGCTGCAGGTGGAAATTGCAGACTCCCAAGCCTTTAAAAGACATCTTCTCTCAGAATGTTGACTGTAAATGCCCAAGCATTTAATGTGGACTGTAAATGCCCAAGCTCTATGATTGTATTTACAGCAAAGAAAGGAAGTGTGCTGGGGGAGCCTGGGGTAGGAAGGAAACAGGACAGAAGAGGCCTTTCGTAAATGAACAGGAATGGCCACTGCCAGGGCCCACCGCAGCCCCACATTTACCCCTGTGCCTCCTCTTGGGCCTTCATAATAATAAGGCCCAAGTGCCCCCAGGCTGCTCCCCATGGCCAGGACACCTGAGCTCACCTCCCTGGGATGTTACCGGCAGTGCCGGGCCTCCAGCCCCAGTGACTGGGCCTACCTCTTGGAGTGAAGACCCAAGGTTGACGGTGGTGTTGGGGCTGGGAGAAGAGTCCAGCCTCTAACTTCTAACCTGGAGCTCAGGCCTGACATTTTTATTTCATTTTTCCAACTCGAGTGTTTTTTTTCATTGCTTGGCAAGAACTCAGCTTGTGAGGTGGGGGGCGAGGCGTACCTTCCCATTCATCACGCCACAGCCTCCGGAAGGAGATGAATTCAGGAGTCTGGAGAGTTAGTCTTGGGCAAGTCAATAAGAAGATTCTCTGAGCACAGTGGGAGGGAGTGTTTAAAAGGAGAAACTGTTTGTTCTTTGCTTTTTCTGGCCCAGGTTTCCTTACTGCAGCCCCAGACATCAAAATGAAACACATTTGCCCTTTCATTGTTGGGCTTCCTCTGGAGAGCTCTCTGTGAGATTTATCACTCACAGGCCCTGCAGAAATCCGTGCAAACTACTTTTCTCCACCTCAGCCTGGAGCTTGTCTAAAAAATGATCAATTGTATAAGCGCACAAGACCCCAGAGTGGGGAGGAAAGGCACCAGGCGTTCACATGGTTCAATCCACCCCTTCGCCAAGGAGCCAGCGGGTTTCTCCCTGTGAGCTCTACCACAGATGGGTATTTAGATCCCATCAGCAACCCTTCTCTGGGGTAGGGGTAGCTGCAGATGAAGGATTTTATCCTTTTTTATGGAAAAGTAGCAGAACAAAAGGAAGATTGGAGAAATAAAGAGTAGGAAATGAAAGGAATTGAGTTAGAAAGCAGAGGCGAACAATTCGAGACCTGTTTGAAATGTGAACAGTCAAAATGAGGCTCTTATCCATCCAGATAGAAACATTTGCAACGTGAGTAGACCAACATATCTTACTTTGCCAGAAAATCCTGTTTCTAACTATCATGAATGTTTTTGAATCTAGATAATCAAATTTTCTTTATATAACCACATGCTGGAAGTTTTTAAATCTCCTAGGCTATATGTGGAATTGCGTGGTCCAGATTTTGATGAAATAGAAATTAAACGTGAAATTCTCTCCTCTCCTGTGGGTTTAGGTACATGCAATCTGGAGAGCTGGGTGCCTAAAATACTGTCATTACTGAGATTGGGGCAAGAGCATCCCAGAAGGAAGACCCAAATGAACAGTTCTTTCCTGGAATTAGCTGGAATTGACAAGTTCAGATTCAGTAGCATGTTTTTCTTGGCATGATTTATCCATGCTTTGACCCTGGCCATCCTGAGGTTGTACAGTTTCACTGTGTGTAACTGGCTTGATTTATCAATTTAATAATTCCACAGAGGAGACTGGGCTATTGATTTACTATTTATTGAGCACCCACGATGTGTCAAACACAGCACAAGCCCGAGCCTGGAGAACTTCACACAGTGAGTCAGCCACATACTCACATCTTGCACGTGTAACAAAGACATCAACGCATGAAGGATAATCAATGAGCTAGCTGCCTTGGGGAGCAAAGGTGGTACTGACCTCTCCTCTATGGAGAGTGAACCCTCTTGAGTGGGTCACCTTGAGGTCAGTTCCATGCCTGGCATTAGCAAGACCCCTAAAAGCTCAGGAATGTCAACCACAGTACAGAAGTGATTAATAAGCCTCGCTAAGGAAATACACCTGAAACTTAGCATCCTGGATAGGAGAGCAGGCTGAAAAGCCACAGGAAGGAAAATTCCGGAAGTTTACATCAATTGAAATACTATTACCTTAGTATCTCTCACAGTTGCTCTTTCTAGACAACTATTGCCAATGCATATTGAAATGCTCCCCAGCCGATTTAGTGAGATAAAATCTATTGATTGGTTGCCAGAACTGAGAGCCAGTGACAATGCCTGCAGAGAGGATTACAGAGCCTCCCGTCGCCTCGGGAGGGACTGCCAAGTCCCGGGCTGGCCCGGTTCCCAGCTCCACAGGCTCTGTGACTCCGTACAGGAAGTGGCCTGGGTACACATTCTGGGTGGTTGGTATTAATGAAAATGAATGCTATTAAATAAAATTTTCTACTTCAACTCTATGTGGATTTCTTTAGGCGTCACTTCTGAGAGATTTTTTAAAAGTCCATTTGTTTTGCACTGAAACTAATCCACGCTGATTTCAGAAAGGGTAAGAATTAGGAACTCTTCAGTTGTCAGTTTGCATAATCTGTAAAGATGTTTTTAAACACAACATAGTGTTCTGACCTCTCTAGGCTCTTCACAAGTCCACATAAATTTTCAAATTTTTAACTTGAGGGTATGCTCGAAACAGGTGTCAGCCTTTCTCATAATTAGTGGGGACACTTGCTTCTCTTAACTGATATAGACTTAAATTAAGCTAATCATTTTTAAGGCCCTGGCAACCAGGATTTGGAATAATTCCTGGTGTAAAATTTTATAATACAATTTATAATTTATAATACAAATCCTGGAATTCCAAATCCACAGATGAAGTTGAAAGTCAGCCTTAGTGCCAGTGTCGGGGGGGACTTGCATCTCCTGCCTTTTCCTTCCCCCCAGCCAGGATTTTCCTGCCCTTCTCCATACTGCAAAAAGTCTAGTCATAGAACTACTAAAGAGTCATGTCACTAGTGAACCCAACCATAAATACTCATTCTTCCATGTATTACTCCAGCTGACTTTGGAATAATTACTCCAACTGACATTGGAGCAATAGGCTTTAATCCTGTCATCTCCACATCACCCCTCTTTCCCTTCTTTTTGGGGAACATGTTAATAAGTGAATGAGCCCATTTCTAAAAGTAACAGAAGGAAGAGGTGGGGAAACATTGATGCTACTGTTTAGTGAGCTGGGGCAGCACTGGAATCTTACAAATGGCGAATGAGTTGCTGCAGACTCTAGTTCACACAGCATATACCAGAGAGGCTGCCCTGACAGCTGGAGAGCATGCATCGTTTCCCAAGCTCCTAGCCTCCCTGCTCCGATTGCCAGTCCAGCATCAACATGGAAACTCCCATCCCACGGCACTTGTCCTCATTTACAGAACCCTCAGAAGGTTAAGGTGAGGATTATCAGCCAGGTATCATCAGGCAACAGCCTTCACCTGTTCCCGTATCCCTGGAAGGAATTGTTTGATCTAGGCATCCTGTGGGTGGCAATTCAGTTTTCTTTTCTGGCCTTGAATAAACTTCTCCCAGTTCTTGTATTTTGAGCTGATCCTGTTCCAAGTGTGTCGCCACAAAGCAGGTGCTGAGCAGTTAGATGCCAGGGGCTGATCTGTTACTACTGAGCAATTAAAGAATGTTGTTGCACATGGTGTGCATTGAGTGTTCAGAAAACCAAATATTTGAATGTCTGCCTTGTGGGAAATACTGGGTGTGTATACACAAGCGTACACATGGATATATGCCCCCCCCCGAAGTGATTTGGACTGTTTCCTCTCTATCTCTTCATTGACTAATTCATCTCATTATTTTCAATAGAAGTCAGGAGATTAGAAGGGGGAAAACAGTAGAAGGACCTTTTAAAAATGGTTTGTTTGTTTTGTTTTGTTTTGTTTTTTGTTTTGTCCTATAGATTCAAGTGGACTTAAGAGCTTTTGGGTGTATAAAGGTCTTATTCAGGAAATGCTGAAATTCTAGATGTGGACTTGTTATACACACTCCTGGAATGCTAGAATTTTCTGGGTCAAGTTAACTAAGCAATATCAGATATTATATCTCAGCTGAGTCCCTTGTGAGCTGCAACCCAAAAAGCTTTACAAACCACACCACAGTTATTTTAAATCCCACCCACATTGTTCCTCCATCTCACCAGTGAGCAGGCAGAATGAAAAACAAGAAAGACAGCCAAGGTTCTGAAACACCGTTATGAACCTAGAGAAAGCTTTGTTTGGACTTCAAGGACATAAGAAGGAAATTATTAATCCACTTCCCTCTCGCTCGCTGCCACCAAGCAAAGCACAAGACTCCACCAAAGCCCATTTGGCAAAGACACAAGAACAAGGCAAGACAGCTGGACAAAAGCGCTTGGCTGCACGTTTTGCCCAGTATTGGCTTAGCTCTGGTGCTGGAAATAAGCTCCGGTCCGGTCTCGGGCGGGCACCCTTGGAGACCGGTGTGCGCGGGGCTCCCCAGCGCAGACCTGACGCGTGGCATTAGATGACCACGCTGACTGTCATGCTCTGGCCCTGAGGCGCGATCTTGCGGGGCCAGGAGAGCAACAGCTTGCGCAGCTCCTCGCGGAAGCTGTCGTGCAGCCAGGCGTAAATGAAGGGATTGTAGCAGGCCGAGCTCATGGCGAGCCAGTGGCAGAGCAGCTGCACTAACCCGAAGGCGTAAGGGTCGATGGCGCGCGGGTCCAGGTCCCGCAGCAGGTTGAAGACGTGCAGCGGCAGCCAGCAGATGGCGAACACCACCACGACCACCACCAGCAGGCAGAAGGTGCGGCGGCGCCGCGCGCGGTCCCAGTCCGCCTGGCTCTGGGTCACCGAGCCCGGCACCACGCGGTTCCGGAGCTTCACCGACACGCGGACATAAGACAGGAGAATGACCAACAGGGGGAGCAGGTAGGTGACAAGCAGTAGCCCCCAGGCGTAGAGCTGGCGCTGGCGCTCCTGAGACCCCCAGAACTCCTCGCAGAGGTGCACGCGGTGAGGTTTGAGCTCGACGTGGTAGGTGTGCACGGCCGCGGGCAGCGCCAGCACCGCGGACAGCGACCAGATGGCGAGCACGGCGTAGGCGCTGAGGCGCAGGGAGATGCGCCGGCGCAGCGGGTGCACCAGCACGACGTAGCGGTCCACCGCGATGGTGGCGAGCGTGAACACCGACACGTAGACCGTGACGGGCTGCAGGAAGAACACCAGGTGGCACAGGCCGCCGCCGAACACCCAACCGCGCGGCTCGAAGGCGTAGGCCAGCGTGAGCGGCACACAGGCGGCGCACATGAGCACGTCGGAAAAGGCCAGGTTGCCTATGAGGAAGTTGGTCACATTGTGCAGCCGACGCACCCGCGCTATCACAAACACGAGCAGGCAGTTGCCCACAAGCCCCACGACCACCACGACGCTGTAGAGAAGCACAATCAGCCCCTTCAGCTGATGCACCAGCTGCAGGCTTTGGAACGGGGTGATGGCCTGAGCGCCTGGGCCAGCCGTGGATGCGTTCCCCGCCGAGGACTCCACGCTCTGGTTGGCCGGAGTTGAGGCCACCGACGGCAGCCCAGAGAGTAAATCAGGGACCGCGGGGCGCCTCGTCGGCAGAGAGGCCATGGCCACCTGCCCAGACAGAAGCAAAGTCAGCCACTTCCCACTCTCCACCCACCCCCTCCTATACCACCCACACCACTACCCTGGCCCCCAAACATTCCCTTTGGAATAACTGTCCACAATAAAGAACACAAACAATAAAAAGTGCTGTTATCCCAGATCTGAAAAATTAAATCTTTGCGCAGTTCCACATGCACGCGCTGTTTAAATACCTCCTGCTCGACTCGGGGCCCTCTATTCAAACCCAGGAGCAAAGGTTCTACCTGGTGAGCGGGGCTTGGAGGGCGGGAAAGCGCTCGTGGAAGGACGGGAGAATCTGGCTGTTTCTGAGCAGTCCTCCGCCGACGACGACGACGGCGCCCCGGCTCCTGGCTTCTCTGCGGGAGCTGAGCACATTCAGGAGTTCTCGGCGGGCTCGCGGCGATTGAGAGAGACTGACGGCGCCTCCCTCCCGCGCCCCCCGCCTTCCCTTATATGGAAAATGGGGGCGGAGCGAGCATCGCCGGACTCGGCGCTTAAGAGAACTGAGCGGAGCGCGGTGTGGCGAGGATGGAACCAGAAAAGAAAGAAGAGGCTGGGAAACCTGGGGCAAAGAAGCGAGGGAGAAAATCCACTGCAGGATTTTGCAGAGCCCCGGGGGAGTTCTGCTCCGGATTAATGTGAGGACGTGGGGAGAGACTCAGAGGGGTAAATGGAGCTGGGGCACCACGCAATGTGGGGAGAGATAACGAACCCGTCCCGTGTAAAGTCCGGGTTGGGGTTAAGAGAGTCCCCTGGGGGGGTTCCAGGAGGGATTTAAAAACATAGATCCTGGACTTGCTGCGGAACTTCAGGTTCCCATCCCTCGGTACCCGCTGAACACTTGCCTGGCTGTGGAGTGATCCTCAAGTCGCGGGTCTGGCCAAAGCGGAGAAAGTGCTCAGCACCGCGGACAGCTCCAGCGGGTCTGGCCGAGCCCGAGAGCGTGTTCAGCACCGCGGACAGCTCCAGCCGCCCCGTGGCGCGCGCGTGGGAGACCCGCAGGCGCAGCAATAAAGGAGTCCCCTCCCCCCTGGGTCGCAGGCATCAGGAGAAGGGACTAGGCCTGGTACCAAGACTTCTGGCTGCCTGCTTCCCGGACTGCTGATTCTCGGATGAGTAGCGTGGTCTCTGGAGGTCGGAGGATGGTGATGTGTGGCTCCTGTGGGTTACTCCACTTAGTGCAAATGATAACGCTTTTATCTCACTAGGTCCGAAAATGCAACTTTCATTCCAGTTTCCCTACATTGGTGCATATCAATACTGGCCCCCACTACCTCCTAGTCATCCCTTCTGCTCTTTCTCTCTCAGTTACCACAGCCTGATCCCTACTTTGTCTGACTCTCCCAATACAGAATGTGAATTCCTGGACAGGGACCCTATCCCTTTTTATATAAACACCCTCAGGTGTCCTCACCTCATTTTATGGTTTTTTATATACACACACAGAGTAATAATCGCAATATTTCTACTAGGGCAACAAAAAGATTTGAGAAGCTGAAAAGTAACAAAACTAGTATTAAATTGCCTTTGAAATGCAAATTAACCCGGATCTTCGAGGTTGGGGTGGAGGTTGCAGAGAGAAGACTTTGTAATCTGCCTCCCTAGAAGTTGTCTCACCCCCCCTCACCTCTCTTTTTCTTTTTCTAGTGGGTGGAGGTCCATTTCCCCCTCTCTGGAAAGTACTTTGTCGCCTGGCTACAGTTATCCCAGTGAGGCTGGAAAGAAGAAAAATTGGTTCACCCTCCAAAATCATATAGGAGGAAAAGTCAACATTGGAACAAAAGCAATCAATTCTACACATCTTTATCTCTATTAAACTCACACTCCCTGGGTTATAATCAATTTAGTTAAAGTCAATATGTATTTTTAATTCTCATGAAACACAATCTGTACCTACCTAATTCCTTACCCAGTAATTCATCTCATCATGTTTATAAACAGGGTTATATGCATCCTGCAAGACTCTGTTTTGTTTCAAAATATCTCAAGTAAAGTACATTGTAGTAACACAGATGACAAGGGATTTGGCTGCATAATGAGAAGCGAGAGACTCTGGTCAATATCATTGATGTATTATACTAAAAACAATAACAAGACAACCTTGTCAACCACTAAAGGTCATGCAAATGTCAGCATTTGAAATTTCAGTGTTGGGGCACTGCCAGAGAAAGGAGTTGATCGTTTGCCAAGTTCCAGATAAAATGCTGTAAGGGTATTTTTCGTGTGTCAGTATTTGTAAGGTGGAAGGAAGTGAAGAGCTTAGAATAGATTTAATCCAATTTCAATTGTTATTTTCTGTGGTTCACAATGGAGTTAAGATTACAGCTAGGACATCATAATTAAAACATAATAATAGTCATAATTTTTTGTCTGTACTAAGTATTCTAGAAACCTGACAAACTATTAATAAACAAAATCTTTCAGGACAAATGAAGAAAAGTTAGTCCTTCGAATATACTTCTTACCGTAGATAACAAAATACAGGCTTTTATTACCTCCCCTGTCCCCAGCACCTTCAATGACCCATAAATGAGGACTGAACCCCTTAATGTGGTATTTCCAACCAATGTGTACCCCGACCTTCCCTGGCTTTTTTTTTTGTCTGATCTCCCACTCTATCTGTCTGACTCCCTATATTCGGCAAAACTACATTTTGGGGTGTTAACTGTCCTTACCATTCTTGTCTAATACCTCTCTTAGGGTTTATTTCATTCTCCAGAATATTGATAGCTTCCTCTCCCACTCAACTCCACATTCTTCACATTCTACAAAGCCCAACTTAAAAGCTACTCATTCCTCAAATTCTTTCCTTTCATGATCTTTCTGTCCTTTATTAATTTCTACCTTTGAAGTTATGGTAGTATTTTTGTTCTCCTGTCTCCACCAACCATGACTGTAAAAGTCGTTGTGGACAGAGGCCAATGTCTTGAAGCATCTACTTTGTACCTAAAACATACCAGACCCCAGCAGATACCCATACAAGTTTCTTTTGATTGAATGGATAAAAATTAGCCACCATTTATTGAGGACTTTTTACATGCCAGGCACTGAGCTAAATACTCCACATATATTATTATCCCATTTGATTCCTCAAATGGGATGGAATAAACTTAGGGGTGTCCTTTCCCAAGGGGTTGATTAAAAAAAGCTCTAGCAAATTCTATTCAAAATGTCACCATATCATGTTAGATCTTCATACCTCACCCAAAATGAACCTGCTTAGAATCCTTGGAGGAGCAAAGTTTTGGGCTGTATAAACACCAAGATATGACCATCTGCTTTATGATGATAATGGGCAACATGATGTGGAAAACAGAAGACAGAGACAGGAGAGGTAAGGGCTGCAGGGAGGTCTCTGGGAAGCTTGATTAGGGCTCTGACCATGTAAGGCTAACTAAGTGCCTGTGATTCCTTACGGTTAGCCCAAACACAAGGAAACCACTAGAGGCCATTTTTAAATTACTGGTGGGGAGAGAGCAATTTTTTTAGGCTTGTCTAAGTCTAGGCAATAACAAAGTAGAAGCATCCACAGATGTGGGCTTGGTCTTCTAAGCCTATTCTGTATATATATTCCAAGAGCCGGGCTCTTTCTGGCTCCCTCCCCTCACACTGGTTCCTCAGGCCTAATCACACAGCAGCTTTAGCAGCCAATTCAGCGTGTCAGGGGATGGTCACCAACAGACAGAGCAGTGTGGCCGGTGGTGTAAGTACTGACATGGCATCAGGTACAAAAGTGAAGCAAACTCCATGCATTTCCTTTTGTTTTCATCTGAGATTCCAGACATACTGATTATAGCCTGCAGTTCTGTCATGTACACACTAGTCATTTTTAACTCTCCAACCCAGCCTTGCCCTAACTCAGAGTGCAGCTTAAAAGCTTTCATTTCAATCAGAAACAGTCTTTGACTGGCTGGGTGTTTCTTCTCACCCTGTCAAAAATCAAAAATCAAACTCAAATGGCCTTGGGTCCTCTAACCCAGATGCATCTCCGAAGGGGCATATGGTGGAGTGTGGGATGTGAATTTTGCTTCTGCCTCATTTCAGTCTGGGATCCCTGTGGGCCCCAGGCCTTTGACCTAGAGCAACTGTATGCTTTCTCTAGCCAAGCTTGTGTGAAAGCTCTTGATCACACCCTCAACCCTGGGAGGGTGAGAAATCTACTACTACTACTAGATCATCTGCTATTAGATGATCCTGCACATGTGAAATTCTGAGGATGGAGTAAGGCATCTCTTTATTTTCCCACTAGACACCCATCAAACCATACTTATTCCCGGCCAGCTTTGGAGAGACTCTAGAGAATGTTAAGGTCATAATGGTAGGCAGGTCTCAGAGAAGAACAAATACAAACATGCCTTGCTTTTCTAGTGCAGACAACCTCTTATTGCATAATCTGTAACTATACCAAGAAATTCTGATCTCTCCCCTGCCTGGATTTATCCAGGAGATATGTTACCTCCTCCAGGAGAAGCAATGGATGATACCCCCCTGAATTAGGGTGAGGTAGCAAATCCTTCCCTGCCATGATGAAACTATTATAACTAATCAACAAATCATTGTGATACATCTATTACTCAACAAGGTCTGGACAAGGTGCCTTGAGTGAGAAAAAAGATGAGTAAGATGTACTCCTTGCCCTCCCATTGCTCACACCCTAGAGTAGAATTTGCTAGAAACAGGGTCAGTTAGCTGAAGGAACTATGGAAATAATTCCAGGATGTTGCTGCCCTAGGAAATCCAATATTAAAACTGAAAAGTCTGGTGGCTTGAAAAAAAACTAACAGTACACTTACCATGATCACGAAGGTGGTTTTCCCAGGGCGAGGCTTATCCATTGCACTCTGGATGTGCTGACTTGACCCCAGCGATTTCCCCAAATGTGGGAAACTCGACTGCATAATTTGTGGTAGTGGGGGACTGCGTTAGCAATGTCCCCTGGGGAAAAAAAAATAAATAAAATAAAAAAAATAAATAAAACTAGCAGTAGCTGAGATGCTTGATTTCAGTTCTTTTTACTTACATCTCATTATAGCTGATTCTCAAAATAATTTCCTTTTTTTTTAGTGTAATGGTTTATGACAATTACCTAATCAACTAAAAATTAGACCTTGAGTTAGGGTTCAGGGAATAAAGAATACACTCTGTGCTTCACAGTAACTGGCAGATTTCCAGCAGCCCTAGCTGCTCTATCCCTACACCCACCTCTGGATGAGTTTCTGTATTATCCAAACACCTCAAGAAATAAATCCAAATGATGTCCTCGGACAAACACAAAGCTTATCCCCCAACACACATTGAAAAAGTGATCAATATGTAAAATTAAAATTAAATATATCAGATTTCTCTAGACGTAGCTTGTGCCATAACGAACAAGAGGCAGTCATGTGTGTGACCTGGCCCTGGGGCAGGGAGGGGCCTCCACCCTCCCTGATCTCTTATTCTCTTCGAAGCCTGGAACATAAACCTGGTTCCTGAAAGCAACTTTCATCCCCAAGAAAGAGCTGCCTACTGTGATCCCAGACGCTTGCTCTAAATCCACTACCAAAAGTCCTGCAGCCCCACAGCTAGAACCTGCAAAGAAATGAGGACATTTTGCCTTTTGTTCTAACCTGAAACTCACCACATTACTAAAGGAAAATACATTTTTTAAAGGGCTCTAGATTCTAAATGCCTTTGTTCCTCATGAACTTTGTGCACCTGTCCCAGTTCTTCATTGCAAACACCAGAACCTACTCTGGCTGATTAAAGTAGAAAAGGGGGCCAGCTAGCCACACAATTGCTGGGGGGGACCAGAAAATCAGCTTCAAGGATAAGCTTCCCAAACCATCCCTAAGAAGAAAACCACCCACATCCCTCCCCCCCCCCATCCCTACCCCTGCCTCCCCACACACACAAACAATTTTGCTACCACTGCTATTGTTAGCCCCAGCAGCGCCACTTCTGGGCCAGGAGCTCAGTCTTGCAGCTATTGCTATTTCCAAACCCCCTCTGCATGGGGTCCCCACCTCCTCAGGTCATTCATTTCTGAATAAAAGTCTCCCTTTAAGTACCTCTGAGCGGCAGAACCCAGCTCCCTGCCCTGAGTTCTAACTGCAAAGCATGCTGAAAATTTACATTCTGACCTCCACTGAGGGAAGACACATAGAAGAAAGCAGGACACACACACACACACACACACACACACACACAACTGTGACTACCAACAATGTCTCTAGACATTTCCAAAGAAACCCTGAGGGAGGGAGTAGGGCACAAATGGTCCCTAGAGAGCCAGGCCCTCCCTGCCAGGCAGCAGATCTAAAGCTCTCCGGAGCTCTTCTTGCAAGTGCCCCCAGGCTTTGTAGCCAGCTCTCTCCAGACCCCTGCTCTCCAGAATCATGTTTGGAAAACATCACATTTCCTGGTCGTCCTGTCCTCTCACTTCTTCCTGAAATAGTAACAGGTCAAATGAAGAACATGATGTTTAAGAAGAAAAGAAACCCCACAATAAGCCAAAGTTTAGCCCCAAAGGGAGAAGAGCTGGTTCCAAAGACCAAATAAGGAGCAGCACCCAGTTCTCGGGTCGAGTAAGAGCTCTAGCGCTGCTGAATGTGCTGTTGGGCAAATTCCTTCTTCTAGAAGAGCGCAGTTTGCGAAATTAGAGGCAGTCACAATAATGCCCACCCTGAGGAGACTGAGCAGCCCCAGTGACAGGGGAAGGGACTGGCACGTGGCTGGTAGCCAGCAGGGTGGCTACCCCGATGACCGTGGTCCCACTGAAAGTCATTGCCTCTTGTCGATAGGGTTCTGGGGTGCATGTCCCAACTCTTCCACTGGAATGTTACCCCAGGACATGGTCTTTGTGGGGAGTCTAATACCTTTCCTTCATTTCATCATCTTTTATGAGACATGTAAATCCCAGGACCGGATATTGTAAGAAGAATCAGAGACCAAAATAAATGAAATAAAAGAGAGAGAAGGACATTATTCTCAAATATTATATTTGCAGTCTAGTGAGTAAGAGAAGAATCTACAAAAATTGCTGTGATGAACGACCATGATAAATGCTACTACCATGATAAATGCCATGCAAGGGAGACATCAATAATCTTTGTGGGAAATTCGCTAGTTGCTTTCACAATTAGAATTGTGTCCATCCTTATAAATCATGTTTATTTTAATGTAATCGTCTTTAAAGTATCTCTAGCATGTCTGACTCAGCCCTATCAACACTGCCCATGTTGTTTAATAAGTCCCCTTCCCAGGTTATAAAACACACACCGCAATTTAGGGCTCCACCATGAATCTCCCCAAGTTAAATGCCCAGCTGGCAGGAATGGAGACGTGGGTGGTCATTATGTTACTCTAATCATCTAAATTACCTGCTGGCTGATGCTTTGTATCAGGAATCCATTCGCCTCTTTCCCAGCCACTGCTCATGTTTTTCCTGGCCGAGGAGGCCTCCCAGCGATTCAGGTCAGGCTCGGGGGTGAAGGAACTGGATGAGACTGCAGCCTCGCACAGCCCCCTACTCTTCCTCCCCTCTGACCATTTCGTTTCACTTTGCAATGCGTCTTTCAGAAGTTCCAAGAGGCCCAAGGGTGATGCTGGCGATGCACTTGTCCAGGGCTGGGGCACTCAGGCCTGCTGGGTTGCTGGGGGTGTCACAGGTGTATCACTGTAACCGCCCCTGAAAATCCAACCAGGTCACCTTCTCGGGTGACACTCCCTACAAAGACCCCCCAAAAGACACAAAGCCTGTCCAGCCTGCCCAATTCAGGGGCTCGGCACGCTTTAATTTTTAACTTTGGATCAGATTTGTGTCAATACTCAGACACTAGCAGCAGGGATGGTGTATCTCCGGCCCTTAAGAGTAGAAAATATGCACAAATAATAATAAACAAACCAAAACAAAGCCCTTGAAAGCATTTCTACTACATTCTTTCCCAAAGGCAGGGACAAGGCAATCTGCTTTCACTTTAATTCCAACCCAGCTTCATTATCAGCTGGAAATGGCTTTTATGGATGGTAAAAATTACACCGCATCTGCATCGTGGCATTTAGTGGAGAAGGGCTCTTGTGGCCACATTTCCAGAGGAGCCTTAACCTTGCGTAGCCCCTCATTTGGGTTTCCATCAATATGTGTCTCCTGGCAACACACATCTCATCATGCCCACCCCGAGTTATTATCTAGACACATCAAAGTTCATGCTGGTCTTACTGTCTAATGTGAGGGGCCCTTTTTTTCCTATATATATATTTTTTAGACAAAATGTAGGCCTGAAACGGCACTCGGTGTTCTCAAGCGCAGCACTCAGCCGTGCACACACACACGCACAGTGTTCACGGGGACCGCGGGCGGCTCGGACGCCCTGGGTGGCAGGTCCGCCCTGGTTGATCTGAGCAAGCAGGTCTTGGTCACCAGGGCAACAGCCTGACTTTCATCCTTGTGAAACCACGAGGCGGTGTCTCTGCAAAAGGTGAATGAGGGGAGTGTGTGCTTCTCCGGGTGGGGCCCAGAGATGTCTTTGTGGGAATCAATTCTGGTGCTTATTAGAAGTGCAGACGGCCGGCCGCAGGCAGACCCGTTACCTCCAAACCAGACATGATGAGACCTGGAAAGGGCCTGCGTCATGGGCATCACGGGTTACTCCAGTGCACTCACGTGTGAGGACGTGTCCCAGTGGCCGCCATGGTGGAGGGAGGTCCCGGCTCCCCCTGACCCTTTGTGCCAGCCAGGAGGCCCAAAAGGCCACCTAGCCCAGCTGGCCTCCTACCAGGAAGCCCGGCCCTGGACTGCAGCCTCCCTCTCTCCTCACGTGACAGACACCACAAGACAGTCGTGGTGTGCCAGCTCTTCCTACGCACTCCCTAATGTCGAGTTCGCATGAACAGTTCCCTGTTTTGTAGAAAGGAAGCAGATGACTTACACTCCCCTTTGACCTGGGCCCTAAATCCCGGCCCCTCCTTCAGAGCTTATACTTGTCCTTCTAGACCTTTCCCTGTGCATTTACATACCTATAGTTGAACCCATAGATATGAAGTCGTAGTGAGGTCGTTTGCAACATTTTGCTATTATAAACCTTGATATAAATCAAGAGGCTCTAGATGTTGGTCAAGGAATATAAACTTCTAGCTCTAAAATGAACAAATTCTGGGACTCCAATGCACAGCATGGTGATTCTAGTGAATAGAACTGTATCGTACACTTCAAATTTGCAAGCGAGTAAGTGTTAAGGGTTCTCACAACAAAAAAAGAATGGTAAATATGTGACGTGGCGGAGGTGTTAGCCCTGCGGTGCTGGTCATTTTGCAATATGTATGTCTGGCCGCCCCACTGTCCCCCTTTAACGTCCACATCTTCTATGTCAATTATGTCTCAAGAAAGCTGGGAAAATTCCAGATATTGATATTTGGATTGAGAGCAAATCATATTATCCATGACGATGTTTTCTAGCTACTAAAATATTCTTATACTGCCCTGTATTCATGATTTGATTTATAAAAATTCAAGATTGAAACTCAGAGTAAATAAAAGAAAAGAAAACTATATTCCTATAAGCCTCTTACAGATTTACAAGCCACAAAACAAGTCCAGTTGACTCTCACGGGAGAGCAGGGCAGTCGCTCTCGCTTAATGAATCCTGGGGGCTCGTTGCACACGGCGTGAGCTCTGACAGCGGCCGGGGAGTGTGGGAAAGAGGCTGCCATGAAGCAAGCAGCACCCTCCTGGGACATTGGGCACGAGCTGCCCGTCCCCCCACGGGGCCTTCCCTGCCGTTGTCCTTCTTCCTGCTGAGCGCCCACGCGTGTCCAGAGCTCCCCCAGGTGCAGCAATCTGCCCTTGTCCTTACGTGATCCACGGACATCTGGGGCCTTCGGGTGGCGGCTGGCAAGGATGAATTCTCCTGGGAGGGACACTGCGCCGCAGGGCCCGTGTGAAGTCCGCGTGTCCCCAC